AAAGAACAACAAAGAAAGCTCGTACTTCGATGAGGTAAGCAAAAGAAAGTACGGGATAATGCCCACAACAACGAAAAAGGATGCATCCAGCGAGTAAATTATACGACTATGAATTGAAATGCCACGTGAATAGCAGTGGGGACTGCTATCGCTCAAGGATAATCGGAGCGGTTCAAGCGAGGGTATTGGTTTAGCTAGATATCCACCAACCTAACTCCCCAAGCCTTAAACAGACCTGACAAATTTCAAGTAGAAATGTCCTTGATAAAAGATTTGTCCATCTTTTGAAGCTTGCTTGGCTATCAGAAGCGGCGAGCTCTGATTGGAAAAACTAGGTTTTAGCAGACTACAGTCAGTGTGAAAACATAACAAACAACCTGATATTAGCAACCAAGCCATTTCAAACTCGTAACGTCCGTTTTGATGCGGCCGTTGACAAGAGAAAGTCGCTGCTTCTCGTTTCTTTGCTTTATTATGCGCTTTTGCTAATTTCTTCTGTCTTTTCTTCACTCTAGCAACTCACTTCAGCCCAGCTTTTTCAAAAAATAATCTTTGTAATCAATTCAGAAGTAGGTAGAATCGTGGTTATATGGAAGCCAGAAAAGACTTTGATGTCCAACTTTACTGGTGTCAAAACGTTTTCAATCCCCTCGCGCAATTTCTATTGAACTACCTGTCCACAGTGCACAGCAGTGTCGGAGTAGAAGAAGGGTAGATTACGAAACCAATGAAACATTCCACTGACGTTTTGTCAATAACGTCTGCTAATCAAGTACACAAGACTCTTAGAAAATTTCGGACTTCTGTTTTTTGATGGTAAGGTGATCACTGGAAAAATCTTCTAAGGCAATGTCTCACCATGCTGATCAATCGCTCGAATAGAGAATCCTCTTAATACGCCACTGCAACAAGTCCGACTTGATTTGCCCCTTCTACGCTGAGAAAAATGAGCTCAAAGTGGACCGCAAAGAGCAGTTTGATCTGCACGGGCGACTTCTCGTGTTTCTGCAAATTCAACACCTTAGTGTTGGCGGAGGCAGGTTAAAAAGGCACAACTCGTCCGCATTGATTCCTTGGTGCTCCCCTCCCCTCCCCTCCCCCCCCCCCCAAATACGGTGTTTTTGAGCATTTCATGCAATTTCGAAGTCGCGTAAGATTTGAAAGGGTTGCAAAGCCTGAAAAATTTACAATAACCGTAATTAACGAGGAATTGACTTCAAGGTAAGCCAACTAGAATTCACGAGAGGGCTAGCTGGAAGTGGTCACGTTATTGGAAAACCCAAGCAACGGCTTTTTAGTGTTTAGGTTTAGTAGTATGCTATCATTGTTATGGTTACTTCTCTTTCTGCTATATTATTAAGTTGTTTCACAAGTCTTTTCGTTTTTGAAATTTGAATGTAATAAGTCATACACTTCTTATTTCAGATACATCAGGAAACCAGTTCGATAGGGCAAAGTCTTTGCAAGATGGCATGTATACTTTTGCATCAGCTTTGAAACATCTTAAGTTTTAACCCAAAACCTTAACAGTGTTGGGTGCCCAAATTGAGTATAATCGTTTTTGAAAAAATTGAAAATTACAAAGACCTTTCACTCGCTCACGCATATATAATACAATCCACATTAGACACACACCTACGTAAAGTTGTTGAAACTTTTCTCAGTTAGAGACGAAAACCAAAAATCTTCACGTTTTTGCCATAGTCATGCTGCGCTATCTCTACACGAATTAATGTATACTACACACCATTAGAAGTACACTGTAACTGTAATCAGTTAGCTTTCTGAAAATTATAGTTTCCGTGAAATAGCGAGCTCAGCTTTCTTTACTTGTGTGTTTCACGCTTAGAGCGATATAAGTCGGGAAGCAGAGTTTGCAACGACCTGGAATGTGCTGGTACTTTCGAAGGCTTGCAGTATACAGTTTGCCCCAAAAATATTTGGGCCTTATTGTTTTCCAACATATTAATAACTTTATTAGTATTCGATTTCCAAACCTTGCATACAAGTCCTCCATATAATTGTCAACATCTGTATTAATTTAAGCCATTTGCGTTTGTACATCCTCAAAACAAACTATGCTATGATTCTGAGGTCAAGCCGATGGAAATCCACCCTCTGTTGATAGCTCTTTTGACTCTCAAGCTTTTGCGAAACCCTTAGTTGCAAAATGTAGGACTAGCTTAGCTCTACATCAGTGGTTCAAAGTCAATCATTCATCACTGAGGATTTGCAAGCGAACTCTCAAAGTAGTGCCGTACTACTGAGAAGAAAACGTATTCGGAAACAAAAATCCGAAGGAGCTGGAAACTCCAACACAAAGCCATCTGACAATGAGTCACTAATTCTAGATTTAAGCCTTGCATTTTTAACCGAAATGTTATTTTGAAGCCACTGCGGGTACATTACAACCGCTTTTTTTGGTGTTTTCAAGAGCTTGACTGCTACATTTTGACACTTTGCTGGATCTTATAGAAATGCTTCTGAAATCGGTTTTCAATCGCTAGATTGAAGCCTCTGTATTCTTTTTGGTCGTGGAAAGCCGGTCCTGCTCTCTTCCGCTCTAAAATTTGAGTTTGAAACGCTCTTTAGAAAGTATGAGGGAATCTCGCGCCAACTACCTGTCTGCCAGAACGCATGGGTCCCGCAAGAGTCTGAGGGCCCGTGAAGGCCAAGGGAGGGTTCTTTGAAATATGACTGTATATTGTTGTTTTGTAGGTTGTTCCAGACCACATGCTCAATTCCATGAGTCTATGTTGCTTCGTACAATTTCAGCTAAGAAAAATTTTCTCTCAAAGAAATTTGGACCCTGTGTAACTGCTAGTATAAACAGCACAGCACCAATATGACAAAACAGGAAAGTTAACGTTTACCTCGATTTCTAGTTGAAGAAAAAATAGCGGTGAATGTGAGTGTCTGACGTGGATTGTCTATGCGTGAGCGAGAGAGATATCCGTGGATTATTGAAGGAAGATATGATAATCTTTCAAATTTTAGGATAATCCAGAACTCTCTAGGTTTTGGTTTCAAGATTAAAGTGTATTGAAGCTGGTGCAAAAATTTGAAAATCATCTTGCAGAGCTTGCTTTGCTCTATCGAGTATTATTATATTATGTATACCAAAAATAAGAAATGACTTATCAAAGTCAAAATCTAAATATGAAAAGACTTGTAGACATGAAATAAATCTTGTGTGCCGCTTCAATGGACTTGTTACTTTTTGTCAACACTTAGTGCAGGATACAAAATGTATGCATTGGAGTGAATGCTTCGCTGCACAGCACTTGTTTTCCATTGTTCACATACAAAAGTGATGATTCGCGTTTTGCTAGAGTAGTTTTGTTAGGCAAGCAGGCCACTCCTGCTCAAAATAATGGGAACGCGACATTATGATTAAGAATATGCTTCCGTGTTCTCACAATGCAACCATGCGACAGCCTATAGTCTGCCGATAATACCTTCCTCTTGTTGTCATGACTTGCGAACGCTATCCAAAAATCTTCACTCTCTTGATATTACCTAAGATTATAGAAGAGATAATGCTTACGAGCCGACGAAGCAACTCATTAATATATTTATGACCACATGACCGTCACATTGCGATATTGGTTATGTTGTTTTTCGCAAAAAGTTTGCTGCACGAATTGATTCGTTTCTTTGGTCGATTACTGATTAGAGACTGCTGTATCTGTATTTTCCTTTGTAAAAACAATTCAAACGCAAAACATGCTCTCTCTTTTGAATTTATGTATTTTTCAACACCTTTATGCTGATTTACCAAAGGTTATCAATACGAAGGCTTGTTCTCTTTTCGACTGAAAGCTAAAAATTTAAAGCTGTCTGGAGAGCTTGCTCAATGTTTTGGATTACCTTATGCTGAAGTTTGGACTTATGGTGATAGAAATAGAGTTAAAAGTGTCCGAGCAAAAAGTCGACTCCGAGATTTTGTGTTTAGCCGGGCCTATTCGTTATGCTGAATGGACATTAACACTGGAGGGGCGAAAAGGGCGAAAAAGGGCTCTAACGGAGGAGCAAAATCAGCTCGTGGGTGAGGTCTTCTCCACTATGGATTCGCGCTCCCAGCTTCCAAAACGCGAACTTCTCGGTTCCGAATTCAAGTCAAGCGTTCGCACTTGGCCGTGGCGATGTCAGAACGGTTAGCGGAATTTAAAAGATTACTCTGAAATTGGGAGCGTGAATTCACAATGGGGAAGACCCCATCCGCCTGCTGATTTTCCCTGCGTTAGAGCCCTTTTTTGCCTTTTCGCGCTCTCCAGTATGAATTTTGAGATTTAGCATAGCGAATAGGCACAAGTAAGCGGAAAATCTGAAAATCGACTTCTTGCCTCGGCAATGCCTTTGAACTCATAGTTCATAAGACATGAATCAAGTGATTTCAAAGAAGTATCTGGAACTAGTTGGCATACCCGGCTTCGCGCGGCCCCGCAAGTAATATTTTTGTAATCAACATGCTTACTTATTCCCCCCCCCTCCCCAATTCCTTTGCCAACTTCAAGCCCCGTAGGTGGAAAGCTGCAAAAAATAGATATCGAAATCAATCAATGACGAAAAGTAGCCCATGACACCCGGCCCGTCCCGAAGTCTATTTATGTTGCAAGATTGGTACGGATCAGTTTAGAAAATTTTCATATAGAACATTGTACACTCAAACAGACAGGAAAGCAGAAATTCAGCTTTATCAATAAAGATTATAGACTAATCGATGTAATCTATGTATTGTAATTATCTCTTGAATGGCCGCGGACCAATGACCAAGATGCAGGTAGACTGTTTCAATTGTGACTGCCGTTTTCATTTTATCATGTAGCTAATTGATTGCCTAGATAATTGGGACTATCGATTTTATAGGATTTTGTCATAAAGAGTAACCATTCACTCAAAAAATATCCCTAACTAACTCGCATCACCGTTTTGAATGAATCAACCAACCTTCCTAAAGCGTCAATTCCTATCTACTTCATATCATATGATGCAGAATTATGGAGATTGGCGCAACGCTTAGCATGGGCATCTACTCTCTAACAAGCATGTGTGGTATTCTTTTCAATGGAATATTGCTATACCTGGTGTTATATCACACACCCAAAAGTCTGAAAACCTACTCAAATCTTATACTTAACTTAGCTTTATGCGACTTTGTATGCTGCATATTTGTACTTTCATCTCAAGACCGGTACGTGAACGGGATGAATTTACTCTTTCGTTTCAATCAACTTCTTCAATCTAGAATTATACCTGCTGCGGAAAGCGTGATATTCATAGCGAATGGTCCTTGCAAGTTTATCAGCTCTGGATTCTGTTATCAGAGGTAAGTCTATTTTATTTCCCATCATTTATGTAAAAAGAGCCAACTATAATGTATAATCCATGCATTGTTGGATTGGCTTGAATAACATTTTTTGAACTTATATGTTGAAACTACAACGATCTTTGATTGTCACTATAGTTGGCTCTTTGCGCATAAATGATGAGGCAAATGATATATACCCTTTCAACAATCCTAAGCAATCAGTAAAAGAATGTTTAACTAAAATATGACCAAATACTCTGTACAGTGTTTGTCAGAAATGGGTTCAGATCAAAGTGAAATTTTCAGAGGATATTTGAAGGTTATCATTTTAGCCACAACATCATGCTTCATTGCTTCAGTCATTCGTTATGGAGCGCCCTTTTATCCTTCTCATACCGATTGTATGTTCTACATCATTCTGCTCCAAAAACAAATACTGTTCGCATTCTTATCTTCATCTGTTACTTACCTTCACTGCTGCAACTGGTACGCTACCATCAAACGGTGAAATAGAAAAGCATGATTGCGTAACCATTATATTGCAAGTACCTCACTTTCGAATTTGTTTGCCCAACGGCGTACACTGTCCTTAGGTAGCCTTCGGTACTTCCAGCGATTCTGCAGAAGAGATGCACAAGGTTTTATGCAGATTTTATCCACACTACGACAACTTTACTGGTGCCATCTACGGTGTGAGAAATGTTCTCAAATTTGGTCCAATGTACACAATTCTACACATGACGTTGCCAGTCACACCGATATACATTGCAATCGTGATCATACGCTCAAAGATCATTAAGCGACTGAACAATGTGGAAAGTATGTCTACTAACACGAAGTTTGTTCATAGACAGCTTCTGAAGGTAAGTTGGTTGATTAGTTGTATGACAGACAAAACATGAGCCGCAAATGGTTCATTGTTCTTTGGATAGTGAACAGCCTCTTACAGGTCCTTATATACCAAGCCCTTTTACCTATGTTATTTCTTATCGCAGTTATCTCTTATGTTTTGGAGGAATTGAATATATACCACCATCCTTCACTAGAATACTGCGTGTTCTCGACTCTGACACTGATCCCCATGCTGAGTCCTCTTGTATCGCTCTACTTTGTGCGCCCTTATTCTAAATGGATTTCTCGTCATTTATTCAAATACGGAAAAAATAATGCCATAGAAGCGAGTGAAGGGTATACGCAAAAACGTGTAATTAGCAGTGCAGTGATTTCTGCATCTGCTAGCAGTAAATTCTGAAAATATACTGAAATTAATGAACTTGATAAAATTGAATGTGGTACAAGTATGAATTGATGAAGCGTTTGCTAGATTTTTTTTGCTTCTGTCGACATGTAATTTGCTACAATATTTGTAAAAGGCATCACTATTATCAATGCTGACAATGCCAGCAGGTGAATTTACAATTGCAAAAAAAGTATTAGGGTATCTCACAATTTTCTACCGTTTTTAATTTAAATGTCATTATTTTCCGAGAATAGGGGCACCTCAAAGGGTACTCATACGGGTAAGGTAAGGGTATGATCGTACTTCTATATGTGTGAGCACGATCACGTGCGTAGAAGGAGCTCAGGACGTCTAGGGGCAGAGTTTGCCATTCTGCTCCTTTCATTTTTCTTTATTTCTAACAAAAAAACATAGTAAAATACGGGATTGTACAATTGAATGTTCGATGTGTCAAGCAAATGCTAGGATGAATGGGAAATTTTGAAGAGTTTTACGTGTATGATTGTTGACCGTAAAGTTCGAACTTGACTACTATGAGATTTCAGCATTAAACGTCATGTGGAATACGGTATGGGCAGACTCTTAATAGCCATCTTGTAGAGCTTGCTTTGTTCTATCGAATGATTACCCCAATTTCATGAATATAGGACGCGGGGAATTTTTTTTCAAAATTGAACAGCACAGACACGTCGAAGGACTTCGCGACCAAGAAGCTATATAGCGTGCTACATATTGCCTGAGACTATCTTGCGGCATAAATCTTGTTTTCGGAAAGAAAGCGAGGCAACTGAGGGGCTCGCTCAAAAAATCGAAAAAGGCGCCCTATACTTGTGAAATTAAGCTCTTTAAGCAACATTAAGTGAAGAAAGAGTTGTAGTAAAAACGGTAAAAAATTATGGGACACCCTAATATTTTCATCTAGTGGGCTTTCGTGAATCTTTGAATATAAGAAAAATCGAATTTTGCGACTGACAATCGCATCGCGCTGATGACTTCACCAACTACTCCATAACGCTAATATTCGAAGATACCGTAAAATGTAGGTGAAGTTATAGATACAGTCGAGTAGATTTTCCGCTTAATATAGTGTGCCTGTACTGAAGGTGAAATGCGGTAAAATTTGCGCGTGAACAAGTAGCCACGCCACAAATGCCAACATTCTGCGCGCGCAAATGGCCGGCAACACAGGCGTAGCTATTTCCTTACGCGCAAATTTTAGCGCATTCCACCTTCAGTGCAAGCACACTATATTAAGCGGAAGATCTATTCGACTGTACGTGTTTCCTGACTGCTAAAAAGTGTCACTTGTACAATTTGAGTCAGTTTGGACTACCACTCCTGTAAAAAGAAGTGGTGAATGGAAAAAGAAGAGATGGAGTTGGATGAAGATGAAAAAAAGCATGTCACACTAACAATGTAACAATGTTGCAGAGATGCTTTAAATCAAAACTTTATAATTTGTATTTTATGGCGAAGCTTTGTTCGTCATTGTCAATGTATTGGAATTTACGCATAGATTTGCCTATTTTTCCGTTATAGAAAAGCAAAATATGATTGCCCCGATCTTGATTGCTCCAATACCAGAGTTTATTTTAGCAACATAACCACAATCATGCCATCCATGCAATAATTATCATACGAACGAATAGCAAATGCTGGATACACACGGTTTAGGTCTGTTCGTGTTGATAAGGATCTCTTGTAATAAGCTAGAAAATGTTTGGAAAAAACTCTAAAATCATTGAAGGTCCAAATCCATTAATTAATAAATTGCATTGGGACTTTGATAACGCAGAGAGAGATTCACAAGAGAAGGACAATCGAAGCGACGATTAGTGTTGTATTATGTTGTCCCGAAAGTGTCGGTTTTCTTCCTCGCTTACAAAAACCTACAGAACACCAACTCAAGGACGATCTAGATACCATTTGGTTTACATTTTTATCCTCTTTCTTACAACTACATTTGACTTCTGGTCTACTCTGTCTTTGCGATGTTATCGCCATGGCTTTTTGAGCAACTCAGCAGCATTGCCAAATCTTTCCTGAATTCAAAAAATTTTCATCCTGGCGTTTTCAAAGAGCGCTAGTAATCATTATGTAGAGCAAATCTTTGGCTACATTGTGTTTATTTTAGATTACATAGGCACGTTTACCAAGTTCATTATCATTATTTATTTAATAAAAACCGCGGCTTTTTGATGACGTCTACCACGTAAAAGTGTCGAAAATTCCTAAAAGCTGCTTATTCAAAGCAAATCAAACTTGGTTATGTTGCATAAATAATGTTTAATAAGAGTCAAAAGCTTTCATGTATTTGCTGCAGTTGCGTGTTTCATAACTTGGCCAAAAATCGAGACCTCCGAAAAAAATAATTTTTTAAAGCTAAAAACAGCAGACTAGGAGAACATGAAAATATTAATTTGTAGTCCGAGAGTTGCCTTATTTGACCCATACCTAACCTTTCCCGAAACTTTGGAAAGAAATTTCTAAAAATTAGTCTAACTTTGAGCAGATAAAATTGACGGGTGGAGAATCTTGCAAATTATCAAAAAAAGCATGCAAGACTATGGTTTGAGAATATTAGGTCGTCCCGAAAATATTTTCGCTTTTTTCAAACGGTTGCCACAATCGATGGAACAAACCTTTCTAAGAGATCTTGGTAGCGTTCGATGCAGAATTTCATTCTCTCTCTAATGTTTATAAAACTGTTGCAAAACAGTCAATGAGCTTTCAGAAAATAACCAAAGTCTGCGACCCGTGCTTTTTGAAATGGTCATGTTTCACGAATTTTTGAAACTTTCATATCAACCCTCAGAAGGAGTTCAAGTAACGGTTGGATAGAGTAAACTTTATAGAATACAGTATCACTTTTTTCTCCTTTCCATAACTTGTCATACTTTTTTAATAGAATTTTAACTGATGCTACCGATTTCCATACTTGGACAGCTAAATCCTTGTAGAACATCAAGGGAAGAGCAGCTCGGGTGCTATTTGATGCAGCATTTTCTCCTCTTTCTAATGGGTGTTTTTTATTTCCGATTGGTTTAGTTTTCGGGGACAAAATCATCACAATTCATTTTTTTAAGGAGCCCCAGGCTGTACCCGGAAAACTCGAAATTCGATATTTCGAATCCGTAAACTCTCATTTGCTTTATAAATTCAATATTAAGTCATATATCATCTGGAAAGCTTGAAATTCCGAGTAACTACTGATGTTTGATGCGATTGTGGCTGAGGTGGGACTGCCAAAATCCGATGGCTTTGTTAAAAAATCTTTTAAAAAATTACGGCGAGCTACGAGAAAGAGAAAAAAGAAGTACTGTATTCTACGAGTGTCGCGGCTCGCGCGATGCAAGCCACTCCTCGATTCAGGAGCCGGGAGCACTGCAAGCCGCTGGATCGGGCGCGCTATTGCTTTCGTGCCCGGACCTCTCCTTGCTTGGGCGCGTTGCCAAGTCGAGGGCTATATAAGGCCGCGCAGCGCGCGCCATATGCCTCATTGTTTCGGTGACCTCGTTTTCAAATTCGTTTGATTTCTCACGTATTCTTATCGATCGTGCTTGGCAGCACCCAGCAAGCTCCCGTGGATGAAGTTCTTGCGAGCACTGATTGTTAGAGTTTTTGGATCATGCCGCGCTAAGCGCGAGGAAAGTTTAGAGCTTGTTTCAAGTTTGTACCGGGAGTGGAGAGGGCTCGTACCTGTCCTACGCGGAGGCGAGTAAGCGGTCGACCCTCGGGATTCCCTGACATCGTATTCAGATTTAACTTGGAGATGATCGGTGGCTTGGGACGAGGCGGACTCGTCCCGCATTTCTCCTTTTTCGTAGTTTAGACTTTCGTGGTATAGTTCTTTAGTAGTGTAGTGTTTGTTGTTTAGATAAACTTAAGTAATCTAGTCGCGCGTTTGTTGCTATGGTTTATTGCCACCTAGCGGGGTATCTGTCGGACGCGCCGGAATGGCCAACCGGCGCCAGGATGTGCAGGAGTAGGAGCAGGATTGTGTCGGCAGTCGAGCGAGCAAGGGGGTGCTGAGCCCACCGAGCCGCAACATGGTGCATCGACGCCGAGCGCATGGACGATGGAGTACTCCGCCCGCGTATGGAATGCAACGGACGCGCAGATCGAAGAGCTGGACAACATCAGGACGCCGTTGTGGGAACGCGCCATCCCATCTTCCATGCGTGCATAACGGACCTAAGTCTACCACGCTCAGCACAATAAGAAGATCAGCAACGAGGAGACCAAGGACGACAGTACCGAGACGACAGGAATGGTAGCCAGGAGCATGAAGATCGAACGTGGAGTGGATAGGAGGCAAGATGGTGGCAGCTCTTGCCAACTTGAAGCCCCAGCTAGCAGCGTTCACTTCATGCAGTGATTGGTGCTTGCACGGGTTTTTGAGGAGCTACCCAGGTGACGGGCCGGTGTCATCCCCGGCGGGCTCGACCACTGGAACCCTAGTGGTTACGTGCGCACACCTGTCGAGTCGTGGCCCGAAGCTGGTCGACGCCTTAAGATCTCGAACAGTTTCGGTGAGCTGTTGGGAGCGCTATGGCACCGTCCTTCCTAACATCTAGGATCCTGTACCACACCGGGGGAAATCGCTCTTGGGCGAGAGCATATGGGCACCCCCGGAGGGAGTACTAGAGGTTTTCATTCCTTGGCATTTCCACCTTCCCCATCTCTTTTTCTCTTATAATTCCCCCACATTTCATAGGGTACCTCCAAAAGAGGGGAGTTTTGATGGCCAAGAGTTGGAGTCCAAGCGTGGGGCTGGTATACGATGCATGGATCGTTCCTGCCAGTCTTTACGGTGGGCCTGGCCACCAGAACTATGCCCATAACCTCTAGTACAGGCGGCGAGGAGTCGTGCTCGACGGCAATGGAAGGCATGGCTCTCGAAGGGTGGTTCAGGAAGCCCACGGGTTTTTCCCCTCCTATTCGCCGATAGGAGCCCTGGGTTAGCTACCGATTGGCTTCGGACAAGTCATCATTTCTCCGCCTTGTTACTAGCGCATCTACCATCAGCGCGTCGGCCTTAGTAATATCCAGTCGTACTTGTTGCTCACGCCTGCAAGTAGTCGCAGTTGTGGATTACCCCGTTGGTTCTATGGTTGGGTTAGGTTAATCACTTCATATGCTATCCACGTCATATTTATCGTTTTATTACTATTTTCTTGTTTTTACTGTTCTTCTTTCTTTTTTTGTTCCAGGTAATGTCGCTACTCGGTAGCTATAAAGCCCGCATCACCAAGGCCGCCAAAGCACTTCGCAAGGAGATCACCGAAGTCAACGAGGCCATCCTTGAACCGTTGGACCCTACCACGGAGGCAGGTAAGGATCCTCAGTTCATTCTTAGTCGTAAGAGTTTATTGTTTTTGAAAGTTTCTCTTCTTGATCGTGCTGCCGCGCATTTGCGTGCCCAGAGTGAGAAGGCCGAAGAGTTTGCCCGTCAACATCCTGACGAGCAGGGCGAATTCCCCTACCTCCAACAGATTCAGAGCCACTGGGACGCTAGTGAACTGGATCAACCTTTGGAGGAGGCCGATATTCTCCGTCTACGTCTTGATGTTGCGATCAAACTCTTACCGAGCTCAGAGGCTTTGTATTCCTTTCATGCTTCGATTGCTCCTCCCTCTCTTTCATCTGTTACTTTTTCACCGCATCCGGCCCAAAACCCTAGTTCGACCGATCAGCAGCCTGCGCAGGATGTAAGAGCGGAAATCCGGAGCCACTCTTCATCTCAAGCTCAGGGTCGTCCATCAGAACCTGATGCTGCCGCGCCAGCTGATACCTTACTACCACCACGCGCATCTAGCGCCTCCCAAGGATTCGGCATCCCCTCAGATGACCCCCCTTCAAACCCCCCAACCTTTGCAGACCCCTTCGCAACATCTGTTCCCCAGCCGAATCCACTTTTGCCATTGTCCTCGACCCCCAACGTCAACTTGCAGTCTTCCTTGGAACAGTCGCTGAAGCTACCAGCCTTTGAGATCCCTACTTTTCATGGCGAGATCGACAGCTTCTTCGAGTTTTGGGACCTTTTTTCAACGGCCGTGCACAATAACACCAACGTGCCAGTGCCAATCAAGTTTATGTACTTGAAGTCCCACGTGCGAGGACCTGCTGCGAACATCATCGCCGGCTTTCAATCTACGGCAGAGAACTATGATCAGGCAGTACGAATCCTGACGAATACTTATGGTCGACCGGAGATCCTTCGCAATAAGCTCTGGGACAAGCTGATGCATCTTCCATCAGCTTCGGAGTCGCCGTTGTCACAACGCGCGACACTGTGTGCCATCAGAGCCACATGGACCCAGTTGCAACATCTGAAAGAGGACTCCAGTGCGATCGGCACGATTAAGATCATTCGTGCGAAATTTCCCCGGCGTACACGCGAGAGAATCGGTGAATTTAAGAACAAAGGAGACCCGATGTGGACAGTGGATGAGTTGCTAAACACGCTGGATACCATCATTGATCGACTCGAAAACGTAGAAGATGCGGACCCATCGGATTCTCACTCGTACAACACTCAGTCTGCGATTCGCCATTCTCCTTCACCACCTAGACATCAAGGCGCGAGCCGAACAAGTGAAGCGTTCACGCGCTATCGTTCACCATCGTATTCTAGATGTTCGTCTGTGTCGCGCACTCCGTCTCCCCGTGGTAGAGAGGATAGATCGTCTACACCATATCATTCTAGGCGTACCTCCAATACTTCTGGCAGATCGCGATACGAAAGGTTCCTCGAGTCGCAGTGTCTCTTTTGTCACGATTTTGGACATCCGTCAGATCGCTGTAGAACCGTAGCCACTGTCAGACAACGTAGAGTGTTTGTCACTCGTAATAGGCTTTGCTGGCTTTGTCTGCACGCGAATCATACCTACCTCGATTGTGACGCTCCATTCTGTTCATACTGTGGCAACATACATCATAAGGCACTCTGTCTCGAACTTTCTTCCTTGCCTCGATCACCATCCCCGCAGAGCAGGAGGAACTTCTATCAAGACTCGTACCGATCTCGTTCGCTTAGACGCGTGCAATTTGGTCAGGAAGTTGACGGATCCCCATCTCGAGCGGATACTCCTTACCCACGTGCATCTTCGCGCGAGTATCAGTCGAGATCACCATCTTCGTCGAGACGACAGCATTCTGTTCCATCATCTAGACGTGCTTCACCAGCGCGCAGATCATGTAGTCCTACTACGGCAGTAAGTAATAGTTGTATCTTTAACGCCTCTTATGACACCATGGACGAACGGATAGACGCACTAATAGACTCTTCAGACGCCGCACGCGCGCATTCGCAGTCATCGTGTATGTCAATCCGTTACGAGAAGTCAACCTCACAAAAACCCCGTCTTATGGTAGTCCAAGCTACAACTATGAGCACTAGGACCAACATGAGTGAACAGCTTACTGTGTTTTTAGATAGCGGTTCACAGTATAGTTTCATCCGTACTGCTGTAGCTGAACGTCTAGGTCTGTCGTTTCGGAACACCAGAATGGTTACGACTCTGACGCTTGGAGGACACCACCGCATAGAGGAATCGTCAGAAGTCTCAATTACACTCTGGGATCGGTGCAGTCTTCCGATGCAACTCGAGCTATGGACGCGCGAGACGATTTTGACGCTACCAGGGATTAACGACAATACCATCGTCGATTCTGGAAATAGAGTGGAAGTTGATGTGCTTATCGGGATCGATAACTATTGGCGTGTTGTGGACTTGCGCAGGAGTGAGGAACTTCCATCAGGACTCATCCTGTCGCACACTAGATTTGGTCTTGTCTTTTCTGGTTTAGAACGCCCAGTTATCTCCGATAGTCCTTCAGCCATCATCGAACACTCGGATGAAAACACCCAAGGAAGTGAGCGACACGTATTTAGCGCTTGTGGTCCCGTTATACTTAGACCGAGCGGATATACGCGCTATCGTCTTGCATATCAGGACACATGTTTCACTTTCGGCATAGATACTTCACCCGATAGCAATGTAACACCAGCCAAGATCCAGACAGCTGAGAGAAGGGCAACGGAACGTTCTGCTGAACATCTAGTGCCCTCGGAGATAGTGTCAGACGACAAGATCAATACGCAGCGAGCCTACGAGCAGGATCCTGCAGAGGATACTCCTTCTCAAACATTCAGATCGTGAACGCAATGGTAAAATAGGCACATGTAATCTATTTTTCTTCCCTTTCATCACCTGTTTTTTTCTTTTATTTCTTTTGCAACTTCTATCTACTGATGAGCGCAGCCGCGCTATGATGATTTTTCGCCTAATTCCATCTTTAGTCAGCTTTTGGGTCTCGACGCGAAATCTTCATCAAGAGCACTCGATCGTTGATTTAGCCAATACATCGGCACTCGCGCATAGCGGATTCATCGATCACCTTGTGTTCATCATAGATTTTCATTTTCAATCATTTTTTGCAGTTTTTAGTAATTCAGTAGGCTTATTTGTTGTATTTTTATATGTGTACCATTTTACCTTATGCGCTGTATTTTGTCATTTAGGTTTGCTCAGTGATTTCATGCCCGTCTGTCAGTATTTCCTTCAATAAATTCAGCTGTCAGATTGGAACGAGTGATTACTCGGACTAAAGACTTCAACGAGGGAACAATCCAAGTTAGAAATACGGCCAAATTTCTTTTTCGTTTTGCTTACATCTATTGCGCACCCTCCATTTGTGCCTTGTCCAAAATTAGTGCGCATTTTATTAACTCCTAAATTTTCATTACTTTTTCGCTTCGTCCAAATTTCCTAAACCTTCTGTTTTTTTTCCAGACTTTCTTTCTTGCGTTGAGCCCTCTACTTTTATTATATCTGTTCAACCCACTAGCGCAAATACCAGCCGCGCTTATACATATTTGTAGTGCATTGTCGCTATGGATCAATAGCCTTGCAAACACATCAATGCGTTACTTTAGGTCCAACCAATCCTTCCACCTTCAACCTCCTCGCATCTGCCTAGTTCTGTCGCGCGGGAGGGCGGACTGAAGTCCTCTCAGCAGTTCGTAGTGGCCGGCATTTTTTGACATCTGCTGCAGACGGTCGGATCGAGCGCAATTTTAGGTTGAATGTGCTTCAGATTTGGTTGGACGATTTACATGTTCCCAATGCCATCTGGGAGTTGACGTTGCCGCGCGCTAGAACATCGCGCCTCCTCGCAGCGCGCGCGAATGATTTGTGGAGAGTGAGCTTGTGTGTGTCAGTGGTGAGTGAATGATGGAAAAAGGTTAGTGCGTTTCCACCCTTTTGATCTGTTTGACATCGCAAATCGCTTCTACTTTAGTAATATCTGGTAGAATGGAACGATCATTGGGCAGTCGCGCACATGGTTGGTTGGTATCGTTGCTTGTTGGTT